GAGAGAGAGAGAAAGAGAGAGAGAGAGGAACAGGGAGCCAGCGCCAAGGAAAAGCACAGCGGGTATACCAACCGGCACCAGCAGCAAGCAAACGACGCGCTCCGCCTGCCACAGAATATGATATGTGAAAATGCAGAGGGGGGATTCGCCCCCTGACCCGCTTGGGGCGGTCTTGGGGGCCTCTTGGGCCGTCGTCAACGCCGTGAAAACCGAAAAGCCGTATATGCTAAAAATGCACGTTCCCCTAAGGAAAATCAATGAGTTTGGCCTCCTGGGGCCCTCTTGGAACGCCTCTTGGGCGCCTCTTGGGGCGTCCGGGAGGCCTCTTGGGACGTCTTGGGGCTGTCTTGGGCAGTCTTGGGCTCTTCCGTGACGGAAAAAGAGAGAAACAAGAAAACATATAAAAACCCGAGGGGAAACCCGACAACGGCCATTAACACTACTTCCCCCGCTCGACCCCCCTCCCCTGGAACCGCTCCCTTCAGGGCTTCGCCCACACCAAACCGTCATCACTCTTTCCTTTACCTGGGGCCGGCTCGGAAACGGAAAAAGCGTTTCAGCAACCTGCCCGAGATGGCTCATGACACCCTTCGCTCTTTGGAGCCTTAGTGTTAAGAACTAATTACGTCACCGCTCTCTGTTTGGAACCCTGGTGTTCAGTGACTTTTACGTTGCCGCCCGTTCTTGGGCCTTGGTGTCAAGAGCTTGTTGCGTCACCGCTCGTTCTTGGGAACCTCGCTGGTAAGCGCGTGTTACGTCTCCGCTCTCTGCTGGGAGCCTTGCTAGGAAGAGCTTGTGGCGGCACCGGTCACTGTCAAGTGTTCTCGTGCCCAGAGATGCTCACGTTGCCACTCGCTCTTGGGTGAGTTGGTGGTAAGAGCGTGTTGCGTCAACGCTCGCTCTTGGGAGCCTTGTTGATAAACGCGTGCTACGTCACCGCTCTCAATTGGGAGCCTGGCTCCTCCTCCTCCTCCTCCTCCTCTCAATATTGTTGTTCTCCTCCTCCTCCTCCTCTGCCACCTCCTCCTCCTCCTCCCCCTCCTCCCTCTTTCACCTCCTCCTCCTCCTCCTCCTCCTCCTCTCTTCGAACTCCTCCTGACTCCTCCTCCTCCTCTTCCTCCTCCTCCTCCTCCTCCTCTTCCTGCCTGCGTCCTTCTCTCTTCTCTCCTCCTTCTCCTCCTCCTCATCTTCCTCCTCATCATCATCCCTCGTCCTCGTCCTTTCCTCCACACCCTTTTTCGCCTCGTCTTTCTCCTCCCCTCTTTATCCTCCTCCTCCTCCTCCTCCCTCCTGCTCCTCCTCCTCCTCTCCTCCTCCACCTCCTCCTCCTCCTGTCCCTCCTCCTCCTTCTCCTTCTCCTTCTCCTCCTACTCGTTCTACCTCCTTCCTTCGCTCCGCCTCCTCCTCCTCCTCCTCCTCCATTGGCCTCGCCCTCGTTCCTCGTATTCCTGCTCCTTCTCCTCCTCCTCCTCCTCCTCCTGCTCCTCCTCTTCCTCCTCCTGTACCTCCTCCTCCTGCTCCTTCTCCTCCCTCCTCCTCCTCCTCCTCCTCCTCCTCCTCTCCTCCTCCTCCTCCTCCTCCTTCCTCCTTTCTCCTCCTCCTCCACCTCCTCCTCCTCCTCCTCCTCCTCCTCCTCCTCCTCCTCCTCCTCCTCCTCCTCCTCCTCCTCCTCCTCCCCCACCTCCTGGGGCTCGCTTGAAAGCCTCTCGGGGCCCTCTTGGGGCTATCTTGGGGCCGTCTGAAAGCCATCTCGGGCCGTCTTGGGGCCGTCTTGGGCCGCCTGGGGGCCCTCGTGGACCGTTTTCGGCCCTTTTGCGGGCCGTCTTGGGACGATCTTTGGGGCCTCTTGGGCCGTCCTGGGCCCGTCTGGGGGCCCTCTTGGACCGTTTTGGGGGCCTCTTGGGCTGTCTTGGGGCGCTTGGGCCGCTTCACCAACAAAAATACGAAGAAACGGGCCATAGGAGCCGCCCGGGAGCCGCTTCACTGGAAACAAAAAATATAGGGAAACGGGCCATTACATCCGGGTTATCGGAGCCTCGCCCCTCCTCTGCACTCCTCCCTAGAGGGCTTCGCCCCAACTCAACGTACATCACTCGTACCTCGCTCTTTCCTTTACCTGGGCCGGCACGGAAACGGAAAGAACGCCTCAGGAACTTGCCCGAGATGGCTCATGGCACCCTTCGATCGTGGGAGCCTTGGTGTCAAGGGCTTGTTCCGTTGCCGCTCTCCATTGCGAGCCCTGGTGCTAAGAGATTTTTATGTTGCCGCTCGCTCTTGGGAGCCTTGGTGTTCCGAGCTTGTTACATCACCGCTCGCTCTCTTGGTCTGTTTTCGGGCCGTTTCGAGCGCCTCTTTGGCCGTCTTGGGACGATATTTGGAGCCTCTTGGGCCGTCTGGGGCCCTTATGGGGCCGTTTTGGACCGTTCGTGGCCCGAAAAAGCAAGAACCCTAAAAAACCTGCAACAACCGAAAAGCAATCAATGCTGTTTGCCCCTGGGGGCCCTCTCGAGAGCCCTCTGGAAGGTCTCTGGAACCGTCTCGTGGCTCTCTTGGACCGTCTGGAGGCCATCCGGAGCTCTCTTGGGGCCGTCTTTGGGTCGTTTTGGTACCCTCTTGGGCCTGCTTGGGGCCCTTGAGCCGCTTCACTCGAAAAAATAAAAAGAAACGGGCCGCGGAAAGCGCCCGCGAGCCGCTTCACCGGAAAAATACGCAGGGAAACGGCCCTGGGCGGCCATTAACAACCAGACGTCCCGCCCTCGCCCCTCCCCTGGACCCCTCACTAGAGGGCTTCACCCCTCAAATTGTGTCTTCACTCATACCTCGCTCTTTCCTTTACCTTGGCCGGCACCGGAAAGAGCGCCTCAGGAACTTGCCCGAGACGGCTCACGGCACCCTTCGCTCTTGGGAGCCCTGGTGGTTAGAGCTTGTGACGTCACCTCTCTTTTTTGGGAGCCCTGGTGTTCAGAGACTTGTACGTTGCCGATCGCTCCTGGGAGCCTGGGTGTTGAAAGTGCTTTACGTCACCGCGCTCTGGGGAGCCTTGGTGTTCAGAGCTTGTTGCGTCACCGCTCAATGTGGGGAACCATGGTGTTCCTTAACATCTCTGGGGCTTCTTGGGAATCTTGTGGGGGCCTTTCCGCTTTGGGACTCTTGGTCCGCCTTTGGCTCAGCCGAATCCCTACAACCAAGCAGCCCAGACGCCATACCGCCTATTGGGGCCAGCTTGGGAGTCTCTTGGGGCCCCCTTGGGGCTCTCTTGGGACCGTCTGGGGGCCCTCTTGGGCCGTCTTGGAGCCCTCTTGGGCCGTCTGGGGGCCCTCTTGGACCGTTTTCGGCCCTTTGGGGGGGCCGCTGGGGCCACCTTGGGACAATCTCTGGGGCCTCTTGGGCCGTCTGGGGCCCGTATGGGACCGAGACGGGGAGAACCCGAACAACCTGCAAAAACGCAAGGGAAATCAATGCTGTTGGGCCCCCGAGGCCCTCTCGAGGGCCCTCTGGAGGGCCTCTGGAGCCGTCTCGAGGCTCTCTTGGACCGTCTGGAGGCCCCTCTGAGGCTCCTTTGGTGCCGTCTGTGGGCCGTGCTGGTGCCCTCTTGGGCCGTCTTCGGGCCCTTGAGCCGCTCCACTCGAAAACATGCTAGGAAACGGGCCATGGAAGGCGCCCGCGAGCCGCTTCGCTCAGCCCTCGCCACTCCCCTGGACCCCTCCCTATATGGCTTCGCCCCCCCCATAGGCAAAAAAAGTATCATGTGGCGTCTAAGACGGCCCACGAGGCATTCAAGACGGCCCCAAGATGGCCTCCTGAGGGGGGGCATGCACCAAAATTTCGAGTTCTCCGCCCCAGGAAGCTCCCAGGAGGCCTCAAGAAAGCGCCAGGACGGCCCTGGACAGGCCTGGTAGACGCGCTCTTTCCGTTTCCGTCTTGGCATGGGGCCGTAGAGCGCGTCTATGCTGTGAGGGCGCGAGATCGCTGGCTCAGTGTATTGGAGCCCTGCTAGTGTGAAGGCTTCGGCGCAACATACCGAAATCTAGCAGCCCACCTTGCGAAAATCTATACTGATGACATTTCTGGGCATTCCTGGGGGTCCTTCTGGGGCTCTTTTGGGCATTGAAGAACCATTGGGATATCACTGATTTTGGCCTCTCGGGGAACTCGCCGGGGGCCTCGGGCGCCCACCATGAGCCTGTCCGGGGCCGTCCTCTGGCGCTTTCTTTGAGGCCTCCCGGGAGCTTCCTGGGGCGGAGGACTCGAAATTTTGGTTCATGCGCCCCCTCAGGAGGCCATCCTGGGGCCGCCTTGCATGCCTCGTGGGCCGTCTTAGACGCCCCTGGGGGCGTCACACGATATTTTCTTGCCTCTCGGGGTACTCGTCTGGGGCCTCGAGAGCGCCCACTGAAGCTTGCCCAGGGCCGTCCTGGCGCAGCCTGGGAGCCTTCGGGAGCCGCTCTGAAAACGTCTTCGGTGCTCTCGGGGTGTGCTCGACCCAGTCTGGCAGTTAGACGGTCGTGCCAGTGTGTGGGCCCTCTGTGCAGCCGCGAGGCCACTTGGGGAACCCAAAGGGCGCCCCGGGAGCCCCTGCGGCACCGATGTGTACCCTGTACCCGGGGTCGTGGTCCCGGGCCCGCCCGAGGCCTACTCCGATATATATGTATATATATAGATATGTATAGATATATACATATATCTCATGTTTAACATATGCATATACACATGTATAGTATGTGTGTACATGTTTGTATGTAGGTGCAACTACATACACATATAGCCAGCATGCACATATCTATGCGGGTCGATGATCCCAGAAACGGTCCGGGGACAGGCCAGCATTGAGGGACCACGCCGATACTGTTGTTCGTATGCAAGCTGCACGGATCTGCTGAGTGACAAAAATGCGAACATTGCGCGACGGAGCGATGGAATTACTGGGCGGATCGAATTGCCAACTATTGTTTCGGAAATGCGCGAAAACGCCGACGCTGTAGGTTTGAAACCATCGGCTCCTCGACTATGTAGAACTTGTCGCCTGGCTCGCCTTCTTTGACGATCACCGTTCCGGGCTCGAAGGTCTCGGCCTTCAGGCAGTCGGCCACCTGGGATCGCTCGTAGTTGCCGAGCGACGAGATGAGGGCGACATCCTGCGACTTGCTATCTTCCCCCCTCCTCATTTACCCCGATGCTGGAGCTGAGCAGGGACCGACCGTCCCGGCATTCCCATAGGCCTACCACACAATTCTCTTAGAACCTAAATGTTCTAAGAACATAAACGAAAACCCGATGTGTTGAAACAAGACAGTCCCAGCAAGATCTAAGAACATTTCGTGCAGACCACAAAAGGTTGTTAGAACATGATGTGGTGGGCCTATAGTCGAGCCAGGACGCTTCGCCACTGCTTGATGGAAAGTGAAGGGCTACGAAGCTCTGTGGAACCCGATGGGCTGGAGGCCCAAACTCTCGGCTAATCGGTGGATCCTGGAGCGTCGGCCATATTCCCAGGGCTATGCCCCGAGTAACACGTCCTGTTGCTATCCTCCTCCTCCCTTTCCTCGTCCTCCTCCTCCTCCTCCTCTCCTTCCACATCCCCCTCCTCGGCATCCACATCCACCTCTTCCGCCTCGGCCCCTTGCTGCAACCGCTAGACTGTTCCAGTGACTCGAGCCCAGTCGTGCCTCCTCCCCCACCTCCTCCACATCCATATCCTCCATATCCGCTTCCGACTCCTCCTCCACCGCCTCTTCTGGGGAGGCCAGCATCCTTAAGGAAGTTGTCGTACTTGTTGCGGCGCTTCACGGCTGCGTCCTTGACGATGTGGTTGAAGGTCTCGCGGTCCTGTATGGCGAAAGGAAAGGGAACACAACAGCCTACAACAAATGCACTTTAGGGAGACACAGAGGCTGCCAAAAGACGAAGAGAAAGAGACGGACGCCCGTGGAGGAAGCGGTGCCGGGGACTCGGCTAGGGATTGCCATGCACACTCGTGCCGAAAGAAGGCCAACCAGAGATGGTAGCGCCCCCGTGTCTTTCACAGCCCCCGCCCTCCCTCTGCCTTGGACCGAGACCCATGCTGCAGGTGTCGCGTCGCCCTCCCCTTCAGGGGCAAAACTATCCTTAGGTCGGGCGTGTCCCCCTACAGGCGGAATGTGGATGATAAGTTTAAGGATCGTCAAAGCCATTCAAATAATAGTCAAACATAGTGACAAAATCGTGCCGATACTAATGTTAGACTATTGTGGAATATTCCTCCTGAAGAGGGACAGGCCCGACTTACAACTACCCCTCCCTTTTGGGCACCAGCGCTGCCACACAGCACCAAACTGGCCTTGAAGTGGAGATGGGTGAAGGAACCTCGGAGCTTGGTGTGACCTGGTACGGCTTGGCATCGAGAATAAGGAGCAATATGCACTCGGGGTTTCTTAAGAAGCGTGGGTGGTTAATTACCCTCCCGACAGGGGGTCAACCTCGCCTCATCGTCGCGTCGCCTCATCGTCGCGCTGCGACGAGGGTCAGACGCGCCTTCGGCGCGCAGTGGCTGCCCACGACGGGGGGGTCGATGTGTGGCTGTCGGCGGGGGCGACGCCCCCCCCCCCCCACGCTTATTATAGACGAGCGCGTTCCACTACTCGCGAAGTAATTCACTACTCGCAAATGGTCTGGATCCGCCGCGGGGGATTTGCATCGATCCAGACATGTGTTTTTCGGACGTTTGCGAGTAGGCACAATGCGAGTAGCGGAACGCGCTCGGTGATACTAAGAAACCCAGAAAACCCTCCGATCTCATGTTCGCTCTGCCTGTGCACCGACCCGGGTCCAGCTGCCAACACACCACGGAGCCCCTGGCGACCACGGACGCCGCCCGGGGGCAGTTGTACAGCAGGGCCAGCTCGCCGAACACGTCTCCGACGCCGCAGGTCTTCACCACCTTCTCCGCGTCGTTCATCACCTTGATGCAGTCCAGAGAGCCCTCCTCGACCACGAAGAGGTAGTCGCCGTCCTCGCCTTCGGTGATGACCTTCTGGTCCGCTGTGAACTTCACCTCCTTCATGGCCATGAGGATCGTTTCCATGTCGTTGGGCTCGAGCTCGTTGAACATGAAACTCTTGTTCAACGTGTTGGTCAGCCTGCTCTTCTGCTCGTCCGTCTTGCTAATTTTTGGCGGCGTGAACGCCTTCTTCTGATTCCAGGCCCCATACGCCTCTGCGCTGACTGACTGCCTGGCACGGCCCAGCTGGTCGGAGGGCTTTCTCATCGACTCCGGAATCTCGTCGCACTCGTCGTCCTCCTCCTCAGACTCCTCCTCCTCCTCGACGTGCTGGTCGATGACGGTGCCAGCCTCGCGCAGCGAGCCCGTCAACTGCCTGAGCTCCTCCTTCAGCTTGGTATTCTTTGTCTTAAGGGCAATCCGCTGCAGGTGCGTTGTGCCGCTGCGCTTCCGGAGCCACTGCGCCATGAAGTCCACTGGCTGCTTCGGCATCTCCGTGAGCACATCGGTCACGAGCTCCTCGAGGACGGATTCGGGGCGTCTCCCTCTTCCATCCCTGCACCTCTCTCACTCTGCCCACCCGTCCCTCTCCACCCTTACTCCCCCCTCCTTCTCCACCTGATGCTCAACGTCCTTCCCCTCACTCCTAGACACCCCCTCCTCCTCCTCCAGCTCCCCCTTCCACGTCTCCCCCACCCCCTCGTCTCTCCTCAAACTCCTCCTATTGCTGCTCCTCCTCCTCCCGTCATACCTAGAACTTCGCTGACCCCCCTATAGCCCCCCAGAAACTGCCGAAACCCTTCAGAACCCTCCAAACCTCCTGCGTAAGACCTCTCCTTCGACTTTTCTTCCTCCCCTCAAGCCTGTCAGGCACTAGATCCAATGCCTCAGACCAGGCGCTAATCTTGGACAGCCGTCGGTCGAAGGAGGTGAGGGAGGGGATGGGGAGAGGGACCAGGACGAGGACAAGTGGGAGGAGGGGAACACGGGCCGCAGCCTGTTGCGAGGCTAGGATGTGTACACATCCACCCCCAGGGGAAACGATCTTCCAAGACCTCGGGATGCGGCGGATATGGATGTATCAATGCCCGTACGCGCAAATGTGTACACACGTGCGCATTGTACATGTAGATGTGTATGTGTATATATATATATATATATATGCGTAAATGTATATGTATATGTATATGTATATATACACATATGTATATATAGATGTACCTACATGTATGTGTATACATATATGTACATGTACATGTATCTGTGTACGTATACTTATAGGTATACGTATACTGTCTTTGTCACGCATATGTCTAGGTACCTGCTCATGTATGTGTATGCGCAAACACACACACATGGGCAGATTCCCCGAGCCGTGCTTGCACGCTGGAGCCCTTGCGCTCGTCTTCCGGAGCAGCCGGGCCTCTGCCGGGCCCGGCGAGGCCTCGGCCACGCGATCGCAGCCCCGTGGGCGCCTCTCTGGGCGCCCCGCGCGCGCCGGGCGCGGGCCCGCCGCCCGTGGGCGCCCGGCGGGCGCCTCGTGCCCTGCGGGCGTGTCCGCCGAGATGTGTCTCGGCCGCGCGGCCCGCGCGTGGGCGCCTCGCGGGCGCCCCGCGCCCTGGGCGGCTCCGCAGAGGCTCCGCCAGGGCCTCCCCGCCCGTGGCCGCCCGGAGGGCGCCGCGTGCACCGCGGGGCGGGGCCGCCGCGAGGCCCTCGGGTCCCGCTCCCGCCCGGAGGGGCGCCCCGTGTGGGGGCCTCGCGGGCGTGCTTCGCGGATGCTGCAGCGCAGGCGCTGCTTCGGGTGGGGCCGATTCGGCAGGCTCTCCGCGCGCGCGTGCAGCGACGCTGTCCGCGGGGCGGCCACCGCCGTGCCGTGTGCGCGCTCGCCGGCCAGGCAGCCGCTCTTGCCGTGCAGCGCGGCGTGGCGGCCTCGGAAGATCCGCTCGCACCGCACCGCTTGCACAGCACAGGTCACACCGAATAGCCCAAACAGGGTCGCGCCGCACTGCTTACGCAGCATAGCTCACGCCACATATCTTATACGACATGGTTGACACCGCATAGCTCGCGCCACAGAGCTTACATAACACAGCCTGAACCAAATAGCTTACTCTGCATGGCGTCCACCTGCACAGTACAATAGCGTAAATGATTGGGACCACGCTGACAAACAGCTTATTACAAACAAGTTTATGTGAATAGTGTATACCGATGTTTCTAGGTATGGTATTCACGTATGTCTGTACGCACGAATGTGTACAATGCTTCTAGGTGTCTGTATGCGTGTATGCACATGCATACACGCAAACAGATGTCCTGATGCTCGAGTTGGAGCGCTCTCAGGCTCATTAGAGCTCTCAATCTTCAGCCCTGAGTGAATGAGGATTACGGGTCCTGGGAACCCACATTCTCAGCGCGTCGCGTACCTTCCAGACCCCAGGGAGTGTTGTCGCGTGATTTTGTGGAGCCAGGAATGCCCTAAATAGGGCCGAGAGGAATCCAAGAGCCCACTGAGACGGTCCAAGAGCAACCCCCCCGAGTCGACCGAAGATCGCCCTAAGACGCCCATGGAGGCTTCCAGACGGCCCAGGGACCCCAAGACGCCGCAAGAAAGCTCCAAAAGGCCCCCAGCAGGGCCCCCGAGAGGCCAACCTGGTGGAGTTGCCATGAATTTCTGGAAGAGATAACTGCACCATCAGACGCAGTGGTTAGAGAGCCCAGCCTTCCGAAACCGCTGGCCTTAGGATCCGATGAGTCGACTTGCGTCGGTGTTCAAGTCACACGCCCAGCTATTCGCCAGCGTGGCAGCGCGGACCACTGCAGCTTCTTTCAGACCGCAGGACTTGTCGATAAAGACAATCGGGCCAGGCAAGGGACAGAAACGGGCAGAGTTCAGCACTCTCGCCGTTCCTGGCGTTCGACGCTCCAAGACGGCCCAGAGAGGCCCCCGAGATCACCCAAGATGGCCCAGAGAGGCACCCCCAAGGGGGCCTCGGGTCGGCCCGAGAGGGCACCAAGACTGCC